TATAAAAGCACACTGCAACACTCCCCATTTATCACAGTTCTTATTAGCTTAGTTTGCTGACCTCTGGAGCTCCTAACCAAGCCTCAGGCTCCACAGACAGGCCTCAGAAAAAATGGCTTTTAAATTACCCATTGGTGCAGATTTGTCATAGTACTGTGCCTTAAGTGATACCTGTGTGCTCACAAATCTATTTTTTATACTTCTGTTTAACACATTGCAATTCAAAATACTATTGTTTCTATGCTGTTTCAGCTTAAACCTTATTCCCCCTATATAAGGAGGGAATTTATATATATATATATATATAAATATTTATATATTTATATATAAATAAAGATCCATAAGATTATTTACTGAAAAAATAGTATCTGTCTGTGTCATGAATTCCTTGTGTGTCCTGGATAAATCATGAAAATTTACGGCCACTTTCTACCCCACAGATAAAACAGGGGCAGCAGTATTTTCTTTCTTTAATCCACATATTTCCTTGTCCATCTCTAGCCTGGACATGCTTAAGATTATTACTGAGTTTAATTCCACTCTTTTCATAGGGTCAGAAGGTGAAGTGCTTTGACCCTGTGGCAGTGCTATTGTAATAGGATCCTGATCTCAGTTAGGGCCTTTGAACTCTATTACAGTTCCAGCAAATAACAGCAAAGTTACAGGACTTATTACATAACACACAAAACATACATGGCACTGTGTGAAAGATTAGTTATAAGAAAATTGCCTTTCTACCCTGTGCAGGAAAATACGAAATTATTCATCTCAAAGCCTGTTTGATAAGACAGTCATTATATAAGTGGATTTTAAGAATTTATAGCATTTATTCCAGAAGGAGAATATTGTCTTTATTTGAGAAGGAGTACCTATCTGACATTGCCTCTGACTATGTCATGGTGCTATCTACAGCAGCAGACATATGAAAAAATAGGACTGCTGAAGAACACAAAAATTAAAAGCTTGTTCAAAGAAGGCAAATTGCTTAGGGGATAAAAGAAAAGAGAAGAAGGTACAGAGGAAATATTAGTCTCTTGGAATAATGTATATAAAACTTAGGGATAAAAGAAGGACATAATAATTAATACAAGTCTGTGCATATATACATATGTATTCTGCCACGGTGTCTTGCAGACATTCATTACTGATAGATATTATTACTGAGTTCTTAAATAAAATTCACTGAGAAATCCCACAGCCACCACTATAGTACCAATTCATTATGGTTTCAAAATGTGAACGATTTTGTGTGGCAATGGGGGACATAATCACTGCAGCACAAAGGTAAAATACTGTAAATCATTTGGAAGAGGAGAGGACAGGAAGACATGTCAGAGAATTAGTGCATATAGTTAAAAGAGGCACCCAGGAATGTTTCATTTTCACTACGTTTTCAGTGACGTTTTTGATTTTATTTTGCTGGAGGGTGGGGAGATGATTGCACAAACCCACACACAGTAAGAATCAATCTACGGAAGATGCTTCTTACTAACCCCCCCTGGCTGCAGCAATTCTATCTTATCATCCTTGGTTGTGTGGAGGTATTTTATTTTCCAATGTAAGCAGTTAAATTCAATAATCCTATTACTGTAACAAAGTGGGATGCAAGAATCCTCTAAAGAAGAAAGAAGACAAAATTAAATTAAATACATTTTGAGACATTAAAACTGCCTTTTAAAATCTGCTTTATTTGATGCTTGGATTTGTGCATTGATTTTTGTTATTAAATAAGGAAGTGAATAATCATTAAATGAGTTGTAGTTGTTCTAGCATGAAGGACACTTGAGGAGATCTTGTCATGGTTCTGCTCAATAGAAGGTTCAGGCAATTGCAATTAGGGGAGTCTGTGAGGGAATTTTATATCTGCAGCATCTGCACAGAGAGTGTGATCAAGCATCTAATTAAAAGCTTGGTAGAGACTGTGGTGTGGCTGAGAGCAAATTGACTTAAGTTCAGTCTGGATAGTAATACTAAGATGACAGCAGGGAAAGCAACCAGAGGATATGGAAAAGATGTGAGCCATTTTCCTGAGCATGTGCATCCTTCAGCTGCCACTTCATCTGACTTCTGAGTTAGAGGGAACCTTACCAGATTTCCTACAGCATTTGCATCATTGTGTAACCACATGGATCTGGGTGGCAATTTTTTTATTGTTATCTCTAGATCAGGGCACAATATTACAATGAATTCTTGAGTTTTGAAGCTGATGAAGAACTAAACAGCTTATTTCTAGAGCACAGCATCATACTATGAACACTTTCTGCAAGGTTTGTGTGCTCAGCCACTGCTGGTTCCAGTTAGAGCAGGAGTGCTGATTTAAGCTGGTAATACAGAGCACAGAAGCTTTGGTAGAACAGGGTCTGACATTTATAAAACAAGAAGTAGGGAGATTGGAAGGCACTCTTGCCATACAACCTTTGGACCATTCAGCTATAAAATGCTATTCATTGTGGCACTTCTCATACTAAGTGAAAGGCTCTATGCATTTTCTGGGTTGGATTTTCTTTATAAACACAGGGCTGATCATAGCAATTTTTTCTGTGGAGCCACTTGATTATATCATTCAGTGACCTCTCCTGTATCACCTACACCTGAACAAGATCTGGTCTGATGGAGCATTTAACAGAATTCCATGGTCAGACATTATGGCACTCTACCACATATTGATAAAATGTCAGACTGTGTTCCCACTCAGTGATGATAAGAATAAGATAGGGGAAACAATGTGCATATATCCTGAAATATGGTTTTTAAAAGCTGGTGCATTTGATGGTGCATTTAATAACCAGTGCTTTAATTCTGAAGCTAATATATTCAAACCCTTCCTTATCCAAATACTAGTAAACTAGAAATCAAAAATAACAACATTAAGGAATAAATCGGCCTGGAAATGTGTCCTTTTTTCTTTGTGAGTTCCCACTGAAATCAGTTCCTTATTAAGCCTCCCTGCTCAGCTTCAGGAATGCCAGAACCTGTATGAAAAATAGTTTGAAAACAAATGTAAGTCTAACGGAACTGCAGAGATGCTTTCTTAGCAACATTCATTAATAATTTGTTCTTTTCCACATTCCAGTATTTGGAAGAAGCCAGAAGAAAAATCTCTGTTTTGTTAGATTTTTTTAAAACATACCTGATTTCTAAATGCTAACAACAACTTTTTAAATTGTCATTAAAAATACAGATTTAAAATGACCATCAAAATATGAGAAACAATAGAATTACCATGAAAAAAACCTATACAGTTTCATTTCAAACTAAGAGGAAAGAAGGAAATTTCACTGCACCAGTAAAGTAGAAAGAGCTGACTGCTGAGTTTGTGTCTTTTCCCTCCAATATGGAAGCAGGTACCTCAATCTTTATTTGACTTTCCTGAAAGCACAGCAAAAAGGGGCATTAGTATTCCGCTTTGGAAGCTTCTGAACTGCAGGGATGGGGTCCAAATCACTGCAGAAAACCCACACATCTCTGAGAAACCTGATGGTTCCTGCTGCCGCTGGGTGGGGATGAGGGCTGGGAGTTCATGATCCTGACTTCAGCAGGAAGGCTCCTACCCTACCTTAGGGCTTAGAGCCACAGCACAGGCTCCACCCTGAAAGTGGAAGAAGAACCAAAAGGAGCCAGATATGCCTTTAAGTGAAGCGTTTGGGCCACCTGGCCCCAGACTGTGCAGGATGACCAGGAAGAAGTGATTGTAATGGGCAGCTCTGTTGTAAGGACTGAGATACTGAATGCCTTTCTTGTCTAGCAAGGTCAGTCAGAAAGGAAAAAGCAAATAAAATAAAGGAGATCCTCTTCCTTAGATTTGGGCAGTGAATACTTAGAGAAAAATGGACCTCCATCAGTCCATGGGCCGTGGTGGGATGGACCCATGAGTGCCGAGGGCACTGATGTCACTGCAAGGCCACTCTCAGTGATCTTTGGTTGATCATGCTGAGCGGGAGAAGAGGACCTGTGGATCCCGGTGAGCGCCAAGTGTTGAATATGGACCAGCAATGTGCCCTTGCAGCAAAGAACTCCAATGGTATCCTGCATTACGGACACCTTAGGAGAATTGCCAGCAGGCTGTGGGAGATGATTCTCTCTATTCAGCACTGGGGAAGCCACACCTGGAATGATGTGTCCAGTGCTGGTTCCCCAGTACAAGACAGACACGAACATACTGGGACAGTCCCGTGAAGGGTCACTAATATGTTGGACTGGAGCATCTCTTCTAGGAGGAAAGGCTGAGAAAGCTGGGACTATTCATGGTGGGCAAGAGAAGGTCTAAGGGAATCTCATCTGCAGGGAGGGAGTAAAGAGAACAGAGCCACGTTCTTTCCAGTAATGCTTAATGACAGGAGAAGAGGCAGAGGGCTCAGACTCTGAGGATGACCGAGCACTGGCACAGGTTGCTGATGAATGTGGTGGAATCTCCCTCCTTGGAGGTATACAAAATCCATCTGGATATGGTCCTGGATAATCAGCTCTAGGTGGCCCTGCTTGAGCAGAGGGAGTTGGATCACATGACCTCCAAAGGTCCCTCCCAAACTCAGCGATGGTATGGTATGATGAGGAATAAATGACATTGTACTTTCTGTTTATTTTTTATAACTTGTAATTATTTTATAATCCATTGAGGTACAAAATATATGTATAATACTGTTGTAGTTTTTCCTTATGTGGACAAGACACATTTTTCTTGTCTGTTTCTTGGAGCAGAGACTAGTGCATGGTATTGGGTACTACAAAATAGTGTCTGACATAGAATGCTTTTCCCTCATCTTGGATAAAGTTCAAGACTTTGTACTTTAGAAAACTTTTTCAGTTCTACATGTGAACATTACAAGCAGGTAATTTAGGGGTAAAAAAAAAAAGTTAAGCCAGCAGTCACATCTTATGCTAGGTGGATGGGACTGGTTAAACTGGACAATATGAAATGATTCAGCTTGATGTGAGGGGAAATTGCTGTGATGTGGCTATGAAGCTCTGAAAAGGAGCACTTTTGTAGGAATTCACAGAGGGAATGCTAGGACAATTCAGTACAGGAGAAAAAGGTTTGCAGATTGATGTACGTCTCTTTGAGTTCACAGAGGATGAGTTTGGAGTGACTGATGGGCTAATCTTGACTATTGAAACTGCCTACATTTCACATTTACTGCAAACAGCGACACTTCTAATGCAATATGGTCAGTCTGGCAGTTATCCACCCTTCAGAAAAAAAAAAAACCCAAACCTGAATGAAGAAGGAATACTTTGTTCTATTATATAATGTTCTCACACTGATTTCTTTTCCCTTTAAGATGCTGTGTTCTGGCCATTTGGCTGCCTTGCACTTCCTTTGGATCTGTTATTGAATCAAACAAGGTAGACTGTTTAAAAGACTAATACTATTTAGTGTATTTATTGAATCTCAAAGACATTCATACTCAAGTTTTTCACTCTTCTGATAAACTTTGTTGAAAAGAAAAACAGGATGGAAGTTGTTGCAAGTGAATTTATCAATGTTTGTTTACTGTGAGCAGAACTTGCAAAATTTCACAGATGAGAACCTGAGTCTCTGAGACTCTTTTAAAAAAATTATCTCACATTAAAACCAGATTGCCAAAACTATGCTAAAGAATTTTTAAACACCTTTTCTGTTTTTTATATGACTAGTTATCTAAAGATAGAAATATGCACTAGCTCCTACTTTTAGAAGGATCTATGTATGGTATGTTCCTAAATCTATAATCACATATCTGTTAATGAAACATGTTGGAATGATTAATGTACAAGATGAAAAGTTGTTGTCATAATCTACTCAGAAAATGCTGATTGTACAGAAAGAAATAGGATGTGGTCTAAGTGTCACATATGCTTCAAATTATTTATAATCTGGAGGCAAAGTTATCTTGAATGCATATGGATAATTTTCTAACAGGTAAAGCACAAAGCAGCATCTTTTATATATCATATAAGTACCATATATCACTAAATGTCACTGAAGTGCTGGGTAAGCAGCTCACGGCAAACAGTATATAACATGCAGGGTAGAAGAAACACATGAATTACCATTCATTTCTGAATGACATGAAATTCATGGAGCTTTTCTACCAGTACTCCAACATCTTTTAAAACTTTGAAAATCCTAAAGAATAAAATCTTGAACAAGATTCAAGATGAGGCGAGAGCATTCTGTATCATTCATTCATTATTTTGTAATGTGACAAGTGTATTTGTGATGAAGTATGAGTTTTGAACCGGATGATTGCTTATTATATCTGATTACCTGTGTGTGAAAACAGAACTCAGCCTTGCAAGATACATGTAAGACTTCACCAATGCATTTTTATATCTTAGTAGTTGTCATACCTAGCCACTCAAGCCCAAAACTGTAACCTTCCAAATGGCAGGTAACCTGCAGCCTAAGAGAAATATAAGGTTTATAATGGTATAAGTTGCTGACACCAGCATGCACTGGGTGCCTAACATTGATTTCTTCACATTCTCCTCATAAAGCTCAGCTTTTCCAGTGCTGACAAGTTCACTGCCACCACAGCTTTCTCTGGATCCACGTCACAAACCTTGCAGGGTTGGTGGGTGCTTGATCCAGCTATTTGCACACCAAACATAGTCACAACCTAAAAAGAGATGCAAACTTTAAGCACAGCAAAAAAAAAGAACAGTAAAAACAGCTGAAATTGCCTATACATTAAGTTTGTGGTAGAGTTTGATGGTGAAATATATTATATCTGCTTGACATGTAGATGCATACCTGGCTCTCCCTCAGAAAGAAGGATGCTGTCAAAGACCAGGGAATTTCCAGGAGGCTTTCAGAGAGAATGCTCCTAATGACAGGAAAGTAGGATATATATCTCCAGGTTTTATGTCCAATTCTCATTCATTTATATCCACGATAATAGGTTTATGATAGTAATTAATTATAAGCATATTAGTGAATTGCAATTACAATAATTGTATTGCAATTTAACTTTAGGAGTAACTTGAATTAGTCTTTCTTATAGGGCTGCTAACTTGCAAGTTAGTAAAGCTTAGAATCCCTATCCAGTGGGAAGAGCCTAACGTGTCTTTAAATAGAGAAAATCTCTTACATAAATGGCACTTAGACTCCATAGTTTATGCTGTTCATCTTTCTAAAAAGCTACCCACACAGGCATCTTGCCCACCCAGCAAAGCCTGTGAATTATTCTCCAAGATGCTTTTAGACTAGTTTAACATTTAATAGAAGCTGTGATGCTTGAACATTTAAAGCATCTTCTTGTTCAATCACATTCAAATGACCAAACCTTTCCTTTTAATTCTTATTGCAGTATGAAAGAAGGCTGGAGACACTGGGATTTCAATCTGGTTTAGTCAAAGAGATAGAATTGGGAGAATAAATTCTGAATGTACTTTAAAGAAAAGTAAAATTTCTTCCATTTAAGCAATTAAGTAACCTCTTGGTCAAGATTTGACATTCATTAAGCAGTAGAAATTGCTAAGTTTGTCTTAGATCTGCCATCCAATATTAGCTTCTACTAAATACTTCACTTTTTAGTTATTATAGTCTGTAATCAACATGTAGCAATTGCAATAAAAAATGGTTGGGCTTTAGAAAGCCATTTCAAATAGGCATCCTTTGCACACAGGTATTTTTTTCACATCTGTTAAATTACTCAGATGGATCCCCTTTCACCAAGTTTGGCTTAGTGAAAGGAGCTGGCTACAAAAGCATTGCTCTGTCCTTTGTACCTGCTTGGAAGACTATGTCATCATTACCCTTACCCCCACGTATCAGTTAATAAAAACAAAGAATGGCTTAATTTCAGGCCAATTAGCATACTGTATTCAAAGGAAGGAATGTGGAAGCTACCTGCAGGTTTAAGGACAGAACAGTCAGCCAGTCTGTTCACAATCATACATCTTTACAAAATTGTAGAGTTTGCAAGCAGTTGCATGTTCCTTCTATTTCTAAAAACATCTGAATCAAGGTGTATCTGTATTTCTGCTCATAAACAGCAAAAATAGACAGGAGCAATTTTCATTTAAGTATTGTCAAGATCTAAATATAAGTTTTCGTTCAACAGTATTAAGAACAGCTGAGATATGAAACTGGTTATAACCAGCTGGGAAACACTCTTTCTAATTCCATGAAAATTTCCATGGATTACTCTAAAGAGATCCAAAAGCAAATTTCCACTGGCCTAGGAATCTTGAAGTCTCTAGTTTCTTCAAGGCTTGCTATAGCATAGGCCTATGGAGAGGAAACCTTCCCTAAAATGCTGATTTATTAACTTTTATAAATCATTTTGCCTAGATGTTCTACTTTCCTCAAGATCTTTGACAGATGAACTCTGGCAAACCCTTATGAAGTGCTTCAAAACATTCTTTTCCCAGCTGTCCAACTGATCTTGTTCTGAAGATTATCCCCAATAGCTGAGATGGAAAACAGAAGCAAGTTTTTGAGCTTCAGTTGCTCTGTAAGCCAATCCTTAATGTAAAATGTGGCTGACAAAGGTGAGCTGTATTATAGTCCTGATCTGTGTACAGCTGACTGTGAAGTATGTTGACTTTGCCATATCTAAGTGACTTCTACCAGAATTTTGGTGAGAAATAGCTGCAAGTTGGTAGAATCATAGATGGCCACAGCTGTTTGATCATGTGTTTCAGAGTTCCTGGTCTGTTTTCTGTCTCAGGGATACTCAGCTTATTACACATGAGAGAAACATCTTTGTAGTGCATTTCCCACTACCAACACATCTCCTTAATATTGAAATTAAAGACAACTGATACATTTGTTAATAATTTTGACTGAGGGATCAATCATTTTAGTGACTGAGCTGCTCTTTCGCCTCAAGTAGAGATGAAATACAGCATAGATATAACAAGAAGAATTAGTTTTCAGTAATTTTTTATTCTAGGAAAATATGTTTACCTGAAAAATATAAATTTTCTACTTTTTGACATATACTCCAAGTTATATGAAGAGTCTTTAATTGCCTGTTCTAATCCAAAGATTCAATCACTTAAACTAATTAAAGAAATGTCAGAGCAGGGACAGAGAACACTACATATAGAGACTCCTTTTGGACTGATGAAGAGCAAATGAAGATGCTGAGCTGTTTTCACAAGAGATTTATGAATAGAACTTCTCTAATACCAAGCCACAAAACTGAGAACACAGGCGTAACAAGCAGCATGGATTTGCCTCTTTACACTAAATTTATTCATTTCTTTGAGCTAGACAGAGGAAACAGACTGAGAAAAGTTAGCTGGAAGGGATTAAGTGATATTTTCTGGCTGCCTCTTCATTTTGTCTCAGAGAGAGCTAAAGACAAAGGATGGTGGCTACCTGAAATTGTTTAAATTTGCTGTGCAATTTTTATTTGAATAATGAAATGGAGGGAAGGGCCTGGATACATTTTGGGCCTTCAATTAATTCATTTTGGAATCATATACATAGAAATTTAAAGACTTCTCAGAGAACATGTTCTTCTGTCAAATTAGGTGTTGAGCATGTCATGGGTAACATGGTCCTCCTATGCATCATGTATCCCCAGAAAGGTTACACTGGCAAACACTAGGACTTCAAGAAAAAAATTGAGAATCCACCATACCACAGAATTTTGTTCAATATCTATCACTTCCTGTGGCTATTGAGTCCTTGCAGACCATGGAAACTCTAAAAAGGAGATCATTTGAGAATGGAATGGTCCTTGAATTCATCACTTTCCTCAGAGTGATGAATTCAAGGAAAATTCAAAAGCAGAGGGGCTTTTGCTTCTAGTCAATCCTTACAATCTGCTCACTAATCTGATCCTTTGTAAATTTGCCTGGGAGATATGCATCATTCATAAATATATTGCTAGTTTGGAATGTGTTAATTTCAAAATGTGGTTATTCTACCTGTGAAATGATCTTGTTGCCTCCAGTACTTTTTGATCAAATTATCAACCACACTCTCTTGTCTTTGACCTTTGACAAGTCCAGCTGCTCAGTCTCAATCAGCACAGGCAAACAAGTTTCTTTCCAAGTCATGCAAAGCTTCTGCCATGTACCAATTTACTCCTCCTGCTTCTTTTTTTTTTTTTTTTTATCCCAGTCACAGCTCAGTCAGCCTGAAGTTGGAAGGAAAGTTCTTACTACTCACCTGGAGAAAAGTGTTACAGTATAGGTCTAGGACAATTGGTCTCTTGGTAAATAACTTTATTTTTTCTCTCTGATAAAACAGAGGAAACAAGCACAGTTTAATGAGTTTGGCAAAATAAAGCCAGTACTGCCCTTCAGCAAGAGTTCACTTTCAAAAAATGTTACTATATGTTTATACTTTCCACTGTCTGTCTGCTACCATTTTAGATGAGATCCTGAGCTAGTGGACCTTCAGTCTGACTGAGCAGACCTCTGGTGTGACTTTTATATCTACACAGAAAATTACAACATTGATTAATCAGGAAACACAAAAAAAAAAAAAAAAAAGAGAGAAGGACTCCATAAAAATTACTTAAGTCTTCCATATATTACAGCCTCTTTGAAAATTTGTTGCACAAGAAGCTGACACAAGAACAAATTCATGCGCAAATGAACTGAGGGCAATTTTTTTCCCCTTCAAAGATATTCTAGGAATTAATCAGCACTACAGAAAACTAAGTGCAAGTTTAAATCCTGGTTTATTACTCAGTGGCAGATTAAAAATGTGTGTTTTACTATAAGCTGTTTGTTTTCATGTTGCTCCTTCCTTTGTCTCCCTGTGGTGTAAAGCCATCTGTTGTCTTAACAGAACTACCTGGGAAAGGAGAACAGCATGTACAGACACTAATCTGAATACTGAAACTTCTATTTTGCCACGGTTTTTTTTTTTGTCAGATTAGTTCCTAGATTTAATCCACAGGATGTCCATCCAAGCAGTTGTGCTGGCCATAGCAAGGACAGGATTTTATCATGCAGGGGCAGGGCTGAGTCAGTGTGCTGGCTCTGGCTGGGGTAGAGTTATGAAATGAGCAACAGCTGAGGCAAAAGTAGAATCATACCAGTGCTGAGTGCAGACCTTTATTTTCAGGAAGAAGGCATTTCAGCAAAATATGTGCAGCCTATGGAATTTCAAGCATACCTCAGACTCTGATGGTGAAATTGAGTTTATAGAATCTACTGGCTTTTTTTTCTTTCCTCATCTCAGACATCATTCAGGATAATAAAATGATTAATTTTTCAAAACACCAGCAGTCTTCTCTCACAATGCCTTCAATTTAAAAGCTTTACTCATAGATCTGCTGTGGTATGATACATCAGTGCTGCCAAAAGTATAAAAATGATGTCATCTGTTGTTGGATTAGATACAAACATAAATTTCTTCAACTGGGCAACCAAACTAAATTGTTCACAGCAGAAGCAAGCAGGGCATCCTGAATATCCACAGCCTGGATTGTGTGTGAACAATCGTTGTGATCCAATAGGTACTCAAGTACTATCCAGTATCTTAGAAGATCTCATAAACATAAGTTAGACAAATAACTTTCAACTTTTAAAAAATTCTAATAGGAAAATTATTAATGTGAATAATTAAACGTGAGTTTGCATCTGGCAGCTGAAAATCAGCCTGAAGGTTTTATGATCAGTGAGAATAATACATGGCAATAATACATGTGAACAAACTAGTTCACAATATTCTATTCCTGCATGTCAAGTTATAATTTAGTTTTCCATCACTCCTTCCTGAAGATTCTTTAAAGAAGCCAGTTCCTGTAGCAATCAAGGTGAAAGCACAAATACCATAATATAAGATCAATTTTTAAAGAATTAATGAAAAATCTGTGAGCCCAAAGACCATCTTTAAACTCAATGTCAACACCCTGTGTCTTTTGTACCATGCCAGTTCAAAAATATTGTGAGATAATATTGCATTACATGTAAATATACTATGATAATAATCATTGTGATATTGACTGTGATGTCTATTTTGCATTACATTCAAATAATTTCTACTCTTTTGACCCAAGAAACTAGACAACAGCCTGGAGTATTGCCAGTTCTTCTAATCAGGACAGAGAGTGGTGATGTCCTTTCTGCACCTCCATTTATTTTATTCAAAAGTAGCCTGGCATTTTTTCTTTCCTGTATTAACTTCTGGTTTCCTGAACACTGGCACACCGAATAAGAATTTTTATTCCATGTTCGCTATCTCATGTTATGTCAGCTGCACCTATGTACAGTCTTATTCTCTTAACCATTTTTTTAGGGTTACATTTTGGCGTTCATATAAGACTTCAGCTTTACCTGAGGCTGTCAAGTTTCACACATTTTAAATGCATTTGACTTCTTCTTCCCAGTCTTAACAGCACTGGCATCTCTCCCCTCACCTGGGCAATGCAACCCCAAAACTGAAAAACCTGTGACACTGGTGCTGCAGCCAGTGATGAGAATCCCAGTGCAGCACAGGCTCAGCTTGTCCCCAAAGGCAGATTCTCACTTTTACTGGTTTAGCCATTGGAAAGTAGGTTACAGAGCACTGCTCACTAGGTAGAGAAGAACAGTGTACTTCATACAGAGGCTGCTGAACTGTGAATTATGTGAGACCCTTGATTAGTGTAAGGAATAACTGGATTTTTTGTTCAGAGCCGGTGGTGCGATCACTGCACCTTGAGAATCATTCTTGATTGATTTTTTCACTTTTAGTAGCAGTGAGAAAATTACTGAAAGAGGTATAATAGGGGGATAGAGAAAATATGCTACAAAAAAACCCCTTTAAATTAACCTATGCAAATAACTTTGAGCTGACTCTTGGATGCTTTTGCTTCCATTTGTCTCTCACTTAAATGAGATTGAGTATAAGCAGCTGTTTCATACAATGGAAATAACTTGTATCAGTTACTGGAAAATTTGGGGAAAACATTTCTAAATTAGCATTTGCATTTAAAAATTTTAAAGGAGAAACAAATGCTTGTCTGTTAGGTGTGATGTCTTGCAAAGAGGAAGACATAATTCAAGTGCCTGTCAGAATCAGGTAATTGGTGTTTGATCTCTTTGTAGCCTTCAGACAGGATTAGAATCTTCCAGTTCTGTGGAATATGCTGGGATGTGCTTCCCACTGCTGAAGCTTTCCAGCTATACATGAAACTTCTTCACTTGAGAGCTCTTACTACCTGAAAACTTCTATTTCAGGTAGGATTTTATTTTTATATATATATATATTTTTTAAAGATGTTAATCAGCTTTAGCAGAAAAGGCTGTAAAATGGTTAATCACAACAGAGTAGCTAATTGACTGTCAAGCTTGTGATTGGTGAACCACATCTGGCCCACAGGTTGCTTATATCCTGCCTCACATCAAAGGCACCTAAGTGCCTCAGAAACTTGAAAAAATGCTGCAGCTGGGGCTGCTATAACAGAGGTGATGCTGCTCAGGTGTCCTTGTATCCTTCAGGATAACAGCAGGAAAAACAGCAGCTGCACAACAAAAATGATCAGGGCTCCAGCCTTCAAGCGCATCCCCCAGAGGATTGCATTCAGGGTGAATACTCATAGTGGCTGCATCTATTAGTAATTTTCCCTAATAATTTGGTTTTAACTACATTCAGGCATCCCTGAAAACCCTAACCTTAAATTTTTATTTATATTCTTAAGATAAATAATTTATTCAGTGTCTGTCATTTGCTTTTAAATTCCGTCTGATGCATTTTTTAAATTTAGGTACAGAAAAAGAAGGACTGCCTCTATAGCTGGAGCTGAAAAGCCAGTCTTGCCTGTTAAAGGATGTAATGCCGAAATACAAGGAGAATGGTCTGATTTCAATCAAATGACATTTTAATTATGTAGTCTGTTTAATCTATTATTGAAAAATGCTCATAATGCTGCTCTAGAAAAGCTTCCTATACGGAACTGATTTTTTTTCTGGCATTCTGCCATTCTGGTTTCCAATATTCTTAATTAATCATGGCTAGATTATCTCACTATAATATTAACAATATATGAAGCTTCAATATTTAATTTCATCTTAGTAAAAATGGCCTACTTGAGCCAGTGAGTCATTCAAAATGGATTAAGGTACAAAACCCAAATAATTAAACACTGATTTATTTTTAAAAGCAGATGAACATTCTCAGATTACTTCAGCACCTTCTACAATTAGAATATGAGTAGGCAAAACCTAATTTAAAGCTTGATTCTCCCAAACACACTTCCAGCGAAAAAAAAAGCAGTAGTTACTGATTGTGATTACTTAAATTCTTTGAGGCTTTGGAGGTCTGTAACTCTGACAAGGTTATTCAAAAGGAAGGTGATTGTTTAAATTCCAGCAAGCACATATTCTCATTCAGCCAAGGTCACTTATTAATCAAATTAATGTCATTTCATAAACACCCCTGAACAACTGTGTTCTATTATCCAAATGGGAAGGAGAGGTATTAATGGGTGTCTAAGGGATGAAGTCAATTTAGCTTGGAGGCACTCAGCTGTTAGAACAGTTGTTAACATGTCTGGCTGCTAATATATGCTGATTAGTATTAATATCACACGATGACTGAAATGCGACTGGCATGACATTTCTAAACCAATGAATGGTGATTACAACTCTCTTTTCTTTATCCTCTTACTTGAGTAATCGCTTCTGGCTATGTGGACTATCACATCTGTGCAACAGGCACAGCATAGAGTTTGAAGATTTGTACCCACAGGCACCATCTCATCACAGTGATCCTGTTAAAGAGAAAATAAAGAGCATTTGACCTGTTATTTATTGGCAGCAGAGGATCCTGCATGGCTCACTGAGAAAGTAAGAAGGACCTGCACTAAGGAATTGGAAATACAGGTTTCTCATAGATACTCGTGCTCACAACATATCCTTAATGTGTGGATGCTAACAAGTGAAAGTAGAGTTTTCAAGTGCTGAATAACAGAATATACTAAATGAATTTTTTTTCTCTTTGTGGGCTTTCTTCCCCCTAATATGATATCAATACTATAGAAATGTTTCATGCCAGAAGGGAGACAACACTGATTAAAGTTACCAAAAGCCCACAATAAAACAAAAGTTTTGTTGTCTTTGTAAATGAGTAACTTGTTTACTAAGCTATCTGAGTTTGCAGAGTTGAGCTATTGAGAATGCAGAGGGATCAGGAAAAATCAGGAATGTCCAGACTCTTTGCACCACCCTTGTATAACATAAATACTCCAGTGAAGGCCGCTTTGCAATTAGGGCTGCCTGTCTTAGAAAAAGAATCTCTTCCATAAAACCTATTCAGAAGAAGAGATGATTAAACCCCTCACTAGAAAACTCCGCACATTGATTTAAGGATACTCAGTAATTTCTGAAGGAGTAGGCAACAAAAAAAATCAGAACTTGGGGGGAAGAGGAGAAGGAAAGAAAATATAGAAAAGTTATCAACATTGGCAAAGCTCATTATTATTAAAAAAAACAAAAAGGTACAGGCAAAATTGGAAGCAGAAGACAGAATTTCAAAACCCTACAAAGAAAATAAGATCCTTATAGAAGATAGGTTTTCAGATGTCTTTATCTCAGCCTGATAATGCAAGTGTTTTAAATCTGGGTCATAGAGTAACAAATTATTGAGGAACTTTACAAATAATTCCATTTTTATACATATATTCCTTATATGTGAAAATAACAATGTATACCTAATTTGTGTGCAAGAAGAAACAACTTCCAAAATCCAAATCTTTATAAAATTTGTTTAAGATTTGTATTAAATAAACTGTGTCATATAGCTTAATTTAAAATGGACTAATTATTAATATTAGACTTAATTAAAAAAAAAAAAGGACAAATTGAAACAATTCAAATTTGTGGTATCTGTTATACTGTCTTGAATATTGTGTCAGCCAAGGTCAAGCTGGAAAACAGCTGTGATGCCTCAAAAATCTAATTGTTAAGCATCAGTTCCAACCTTGTTCCCCCCATCATAGAGGGCTGAGAGAAAGTAATATTTCTGTGATGCTGGAATGTCACCAGGGAACATTTAGGACAATACAATCCATCACATCACCTTGCATGAAATACACCTTTTCTCTGGTCTACTTGTCATACCAGGAAGAATAGGCAATTTGGAGAGAAAAAACTACATGGGACATAAACAAACAAACAAAAAAAAAAAAAACAAAACAAACAAAAAAAAAACCAAAACAAAACAAAAAAAAAAAACCATCAGCTCTTCATTTGTGTAAGAAAACAAGATCTCTGTTAATTGCTAGGAATCAGTCCTTAAACTGTATAGAACACAGAAATAATTGCAGTTGTGTTTTCATGGGAAACTCTTCCCTTCTATATTTTTAACTTTTTTTTTTCTCAGATTAAGGTACTACTGAAAGTATTCTGAATACTGAAAGTATTCTGAAATAGTTTTTCAGTAGAAATAGCAAAGTTTTGTGCTTATTTACAAAAGTGATGTCTAAAATAGTTGAGGATTGGATATGATTAAATTATCTGAACAATGAATGTCTAAAGCCCAAACCCAAAACAACAGCTGATAAAGAGACTACTGAAAGACCTATCCAGATTTGCTAGATTTTTGAAACAATTTTCTCTCTTTCTGACTGAAAGTTGTCGCGGCGGGCATTGTTCAGAGTCCTGTGACATTCCTGAAGAAGCGTCTTGAAAAAGACACCTTGGGGACACAGGCACGTCTGTGCTCACACCAAGTGATTTCAGCTCTTCTGTGATCTAGGCAACACAGGAGAGACAGGGTCTGCATGTGGGGTTCCAAGGAGAGCTTTTATTGAGCTTCTTCCTCAAAAGAGTCTAGGGATGAAGAGCCGCTCAGGCAGGAAAACCAGGGGTTTATATAGGGATCTTGAGGGGCAGGACAGAACACTAGGGCTAATGGGGTAGAAGAAATCAACATACAGTCGCTCTGTATGGGCTCTGGGGGCAATTTTCTTGCTCTCTCTAACCAAAAGGGTTGTAGCTCAGGGGTTGGCCCTCCAGAGGAGTGAAACAGGCTTTCCCTTTGCTGCTTCTCCAGCCCCCACAGAAAGTATCCAAGAAAAAAAGCTAGCAGACATTTGTCAAGCAGAGAACACCAAACTAAGTTTGTATGTCATGCAGAAAGAAAAGTCTATCTGAACAAAACTCATTTAACTATGCAGTATAGGGAATTTATGGAAACAGAAAGAAAATACAGCCTCATTAGCAGTATAGAAAAATAGCGAATACATTTTTTTCATGTTAGGCAAATGCATAGAAATTAATATACTGATACAAGGACAGGATATACAAAAGCAAGGGTAATTAATGTATTTAATAATGATTTGGAGGATGATGTTAATTGAACAATAATTAACTTTGCCAATGAGAAAAATACAGCAACAAATACAAAATGTTCGATGTACACATAGTCTTACTTTTCTCATCTTGTTCTGATGTATGTGCTAGATAAAGGTTAAATACTAGTCACCTTGTTATGATTATTATTTATACCTGTACTCTATTTTTTTTCTCTACAGAAAAATCAATATAAACTATGCCAGAGAAAAGGCTGTATAGGACAAATTTCAGGAGTGTAATTTTTGATTCAATACTCTGCAATTAAAATATTTTAAAGTTATTTTCTACATTTATTACTTCATATAATTTAAATAACTCAAATCCTAGTACATTCCACTACCTCAAACCCATTATACTTCTCTACTTCTCTTTTTATCCTATTTAAGTTTTATCTGGAAAAAAAATAAAAAGAAAAGGTATGAACCCATATCAAAGCAGCTCTAGACAAAAACTAGGGTCTAAACAAAGACTAAAGTAGAGAATGGGAACTTGTTTTTGCTTCGGTGTTATTACTGAATAATTTTTCATTTGCAGTGTAAAAATGAGTAAGATAAGCTAGTTTCATTCCTTTGTCCTTGGGACAGTTGCATGCAGGAATAACTTAAAAAAAAACACTTGGAAGAGATTTAATTGAAAATCAAAGCAAAGCACAGTGAAAGAAAATATTGGTTTAGCTATATAAAAAATATGTATTTGACAGGGCTTTCTGCCCTGCTGCTTTAAAGTTTAGCTTTAAAAAGGAAACTGATCTAACAAATGTATTTGAACAATGTTTCTTAAATCTATGTGGACAATCTCCCTGTGAGTTTACATTTGGAAGAAGAATGAAAATAAGTTCTGTGAAAATAATTGTGTCAATTCTGAAATTGATTGAAAATCAAATGCACTGAAATTATTTCACACTACTGAAGTGGAGGCTAGAGCCTCCTTCTTTCATGAAGAATCAACTTGTCTTGTCATGTCTAAGAGCAGAAAAGGGTCCCTGCTCAGAATGCACCTGTTTTTCCCCTCTGTATAACTCTACATACATAGCCTAACTCAACCCAGCTTTGTAAAATAATTCTGATATTTAAAAACTAGTGTATTCAAGGTAATTCTTACTACAGCTCATCACAGCTTTAATGAGAAATTCCGGGCCTTCCTCACTTACCTGAGCTCAAATAAGTTTCCCAAATGGTCCTTCGATTGAATTTGTACTGTCTTGCTTTAAGACCAATTGCTCAAATATGCTGTGGAAACAAAATCAAAACACTATCAGGAAAAGCAAAAGCTCTTTCACTTTCAATGATTCTTGTTTCAATGGAAACTTTGGTACAGAATAGTACTAAAGCAACCCAAGTATAAGATGAAAACTGCTGGACAGAGAAAAATTGATTCTTTCATCTCTTCAAGGCAACACCCCTTAGGGAATAGGATGAGAGCAGAATGTAAACAGTTTATTACTTGATACTTCAGTCTAATGCAAAGGAGCACTGATGCTGACAAGTCAGCATGCAGCAAACAGTGTCAAACAGCTTACAGTAGCGCAGCAGTCCCTCCACTTGAAGCCATTAACCAATAGAATTATAGATGTGGAGAAACAGAGGTCAATATATAACCTGCTGTTTAATAATGCAGGGTAGAGTGAATAGAACAAGACAGGATTTTTCATTTCTGGAAAAGAATCAAAACAGTGTTAAGTATGGAATTTGAAGTAAATGAAGAAAAACTATTAGTATCTACTGTCAACTGAAAGGAGAGAGGGACCCCTTAACAAAGGAAGCAAACTTGTGTAATGTATTTGGATTTTAATTTGTGACATAACATGGATATTTTAGAAATATTTCTTAAAGTACTAACTTTACTAATAACTGCTAAGGCAGAGGGAATGCTCATAGCAGCTACTATGTCAATTGCTTTGCTCAAGTCGGTAAAGGCAGCTGGAGAAAAGCCTTTCTGTTCTCCATGTTAACGGTACAACACTTTGGCGTTCAGTGAGAATTTATTAACACTTTGCAATCTTTTTAAAATGCACATACTACCCTCACACACAATGCCTGTAGAGGGTATCATGATTCCTTCATTGTTGTGCATTTTAGAGCAGGATTTTACTGTGGTGTAGCAGCAGCACCTATTGCTGCTGGCAGCTCTTGCTGAGCTCCACTGCCTTCCGCTGTTGTGGAACTGCACTTCCACTTCAGGACATCAGCATGCTGGTGACCTCTGAGAGAAATGATATGGCACATATTTAGGTTATATCTTCCATGTTTAATCTTAGTAAGTCACTCTTGCATTGCATCAGCCATTTGATACCCATGGAGTTCTGCCCACTTGGGGGACAAGTATTTTGAAACTGTGTTATGCTGGTTATGCAGCAGTACTTTCTGCACCTTTTCCTATAAAAATCTTCCATATTAAGTGAAGTGGGAAATGGCGTTACAGTTGCTTAAATACAAGTATTGGGCTGGTGTTCTTTAAGAAAGGTAATGGCTGTGTGAACAGCAGAAGTTGTATTCATATGAAATGATATGCTTCCCTTTCTGGAAGGAGGAAAAAGGGGAAAATTCTTTGTCCCCATAGATTAATGGTTGCATGGCTTTCTTTTTGAAAACTTGAGGTTGCTGGGTTACATAATGCTATAGGATGTATGCCTCTAAGGCAAAAGCTATTAAAATAAATTTCCATACAAGAAATTTACTCAGATAAGAAATGTATCTTGATCCTGCAATTCAAATTGCCTAAACTCTTCCACTGATATCTCTTTTTTGCCCATACTCACTTAAAAGTAGTCTTACTCAATATGCAAACTCACTCAGATTTGTATTATAATCTCCAGTATGGTTATCACCAGGGAGTAAAGCTCAATATTATTATAACCTGGAACTTGTACTTTATATGTTCTCTCACATTTTTCCAACAGCAAATGGAGCAAATGGTTCATCCAAATGCTTCAGACAATGCAATATGGCTTTAACCTTGAGCTCACCATATCTGAAGCCGTTGCTCTAATTGAATTTTAAGTATAGAATCTGTATTTATGTGTAAGTTTACAAGTGCAAATTGTTTTCCTCTAAAATGATAAGCAGCATTTGTTCGAGATGAATCTGTTAGATTTCAGGCAACAAACTCCCAGAAAAGAAATAAATTTTTAAATTAATTACTAACAATTTTTTTATTCAATTCATCAAAGTTGAGTTTCAATCCCAGACACACATACATGATTTTTCTCATAGTTCAAAGCTGACTATTTAAACTTCTGGTTCTTCTCAAGTATTCTTATGCAGACATTAACAAAGGCGTCTGAGAGTTTCAAATTATATAAAGGCTTTTTCCTTTTAAACATCAAAGTCTCTTGTTTTACATGTGGTAACACCTGTCAGATATATGCGGAAATGAAGAGCTGAAGCTAAAAATTAGTGGTTGCCTGTAGGGGGAATGATCATAATTTAATTTTATATATTCCTTATATAAAAAATGCAGTGCCAGCATGCAAACCCCAAGTTTGAATCTTCTAAAAAGACAACTAAGCTTAAAGCAACTATTATTCTAATGTTTTGAAACACTTGTAATCTAAAAAAGTGAAAGACAAAATTAAAAGTACTGTGCTAGTTTAGGATGGCATAGAGTTAATTTTCCTCACAGTAGTTAGTGTGGGCCTGTGTTTTGGATTTGTGCTGGAAAGTGTTGATAACACAGGGATGTTTTTGTTATTGCTGGGCAGGCTTGCACTGCACCAAGCCCTTTTCTGCTTCTCACCCTCCCTGCAAGCAGGAGGGGGGTGCACAAGGAGTTGGGAGGGGACACAGCCAGGACAGCTGATCCCAACTGACCAGAGGGATATTCCAGACCACATAACTTCATGCTCTGCATGTAAAGCTGGGGGAGAGGAAAGAAGGTGAGAATGATCAGAATGATGGTGTTTGTTTTCTCAAGCCACTGCTGTGATGCAGCCCTGCTCTCTTGGGCATGGCTGAACACCTGTCCAGCCATGAGAAGGGGTGAATGAATTCCTTGTTTTGCTCTGCTTGTGTGTAATGCTTTTTCTTTCCCTATTAGACTGTCTGTATCTCAACCCATGTCTTGTCTCACTTTTCCAATTGTCTCTTCCCATCCCACTTCATTGTTGGCTGGGGTTAAACTACAACAGTCTAGAAATTCTCTTGGAAGATACTTTACTCAATATCAAAACCCACTATTCTTCAAAGAGAAGTTAACACTCATTTAAGGCAGACATAGTGAAAAAGCATTTTCATTCAGGTGATTATGCTTTTAAATAAAGTATGGAAACAAAATGTCAGTAAATATACACTTAATATGCAAGCACCTGTTACATGTGGAAAATTACATGCAAATCAATGGCCACTGCAAATACGGAAAAAAATATAGGTCTCCTTAAATTATATTTTTAAAAAATAACAGAAATCCTTGTCATTTAATTGTGTGAATATTTGACTTTCATAGCTTAACTGGAGGAAATATCAGTGTAACTTGCTGGACACTGTCTGCCAAAAGTAGAAAATACATTTTTATCCAGTACCTAGCCCCTCTGACGCTACGGGGCACAAATGTGCCCTTGATCTTAAGCACTGGCTGTAAAGGGTACACTATCCCCTGCAGGTGTTGTGGGATATTACACCAACAATTTTCAGAGGGAATATCAAAGAGCTGAAGATTTTCCAGTAATCTTGTAACATTTTGATGACGTATCTCTGAATTTCTCAGCACAATGGACAGACCCCACAAAATAAAACTGTTGGGTCATCTATTGTACTATACATGTATCATATGCCTGCAGCAGCATGACTATGTCAATGATGATATTTCTTTGATAACAGATATTTGAAACACAGACAGAGAAACTGCAAATGGCAGTGTAGAAAATGTATGAATTTCTGCTTTGTATTTGAAACACTTTTGGAGAATATAGCTGTAAAGAAAGGATGGCTGTGAAGAATGGTATTGTGGCCAGATGGATCCATCCAATATCCTTTTTTATAAAAAAAAAAAAGCTGTTTTAATTTGAGTTAATCACAATAGTACTATTCCTTAAAAATATAAAAGGCAATTAAATATAGAATTGCTCCTAGTCCCAAGACTGGTAGCCTTGAGAGGTAGGACAGTATGACAGAAGAATGCAAAAGAAGAGGTCAAGAAGCAAACAAATATGTTCAAAATAATTTCATTGTAAGAAAAGCCCTGTGCTTTGGACAAACAAAAAAAAAGTTTGGACAAAAGGTTGACAATGTATTGATGATTGTAGACCCAGATTTTTGCAGACACTTTATATAGTATCTTCTTTATCTTCAGTTGCTTAGCACAACATTACATTTGTCCATGATACTTTATAATTCCTGTATGAACTGCTAATAGTGCAAGAAGTACTCAGCTGGATTAAAAATTCTCTCTGGCAGACTTTAAAATGGTGTCAGAGGTGCAAGGACACTAAATAGGCCACAGAGATTTCTCTGAAAAAAAACTTTGGTCCAGGATTTTGATATTTTTCTTAATAACTCAGTGGAAGCCAAATCTCTATAAAGCTCTGATCAGAGCTAGCGAATCAACTATATCAAGTTGTTCAGCTGAAATCACTTCCCTGACTAAATGTTTGCATGTCATGTGACATACTCATACTTCTGGTGGTTGTATCAAACTTAAGTATGGAGAGCAAACGAAGTCCCAGATTGTGTTTTAGATTTAGTAATATTTCCAAACTGATAAGGGAAAATAAAAAAGCAGTATTTTGGACCTTCCTTTCCAGGAGGAGGTAGACCTTGCTGGGTAGGCCCATGCAAGCACATTTGGCCTAGAAGCCCTCTGCAATTGCAAAGTTTGGATTTCATTTAGCGATCCTTTTTGGTCCTTCAGTGTCCTTTGTGATGTCTTCTTGGAGTCACTGAGGCCTCATCAGCAAAAAATAAGAGGAAAAGAGGGCAGCAGACGCAAGCAGCACAGATAGTTCACATCAGCAAGGAAGAAAGCACTGTAAACAATACAGTAATGACATCTGAGAAGAGGGGGAAAAAAACCCAAAAAAACCTGCTGTGCTGTATGCACTGCAATAGACCTACCAAGCATCTATGGAAAATGGGATCTGGAGTGGGATTCAGCTTTTGGGTTCTTGCTCTCTTTCTACCTCTTATTTGTTTTCTAGAGAAAGATTAAGCTTTTTAAAAGCTGTAATACAAGGAGACAGTTTGATGTGGTAGAAGGATAGTGGGTTGGGTTTTTTCCTCTTGTATAGATCCCCACT